GCGGGACAAGTGGCAGCCAACGAACACCTCGTGCGTCTGCAGTGTGAGTACGGCGGGGCTTCCCGGGAATAATTTTTTTCCGGGTGAATTTTATCAAGCGGGAGTGATGATCGAAGTATATTGCGGTTAATCTTTTCCAATAGTAGTGATCGGGCTAGCAGATAGATTACAAATTACGCAAATTAGTAGCAGTAATTACGTCAAGCTGTTAAAGAAAAACGTCTCTGCCATCTCCGTCACGCTATCAAAAGCTATGTGCGCGTCAGTGTTATTTGTGGTATGGTGTTTTGCGCGTTTGTAAGTGTTTTTAAGCTTTTCGCAGCTTTGAGAAAGTCAATACGAATCGTTTATTTCGAGCTTCCAGACGTGGCAGCTCAACTGGGAGAAAGCTGTGCTGAAGGGAGTGCTTGCACAGTTTACCAGATAATGTTCTGGCCCCCCATGGAATAACCAGCGTTCATTCACGTTTATGGGAGGTTACTCGCATCTGCGCAATAGTTTGCAAATAATAATAGGGCGGTTTTAAATGTCGCAGTTGCAGTAAAGTTTCTAACAACACATTCGGAAAATAGTTAGGAACGTATGAAGCACAGCAACGTTGGCGTGCGAACTCTAGTGATATCTTAATCGCGAAGGAAATAAATTTACGCCTTCCATGACCCTGCAGGCTCATTTTGAAGAGAACAGCTTCGAGCAAAACAGAGCAGATGGGTGGAAAAAGTTAAAGCCGAATGCCGTGCCTACAGTGTTTTCCTTCAGACGTAAGTTGTTACTTCCTTTTTTCCGTGTGCTTGTACACAGAATTTAGCATTATTCGCCCTTGTATTCTTATGACTTCATTGTGTGATCGTGCACGCATGCAGTGCTTTTATTGTGTTGATAGCGGCGCTTATAATTACAATAGAGTTTAACTGTAATTTAAGTGTGCACTAAAAAAGCAGGGTCGAACTTTGTTTTGTTTCTAGATGTTAGAGTTGTGTTGGCGGAACTTTGCCATTTGTTTTTGCGTTTAAATATAACGAACGTAAGCGTATGGGAGTTGATTTTTTTTTTTTTGCACAGGGGCGGATGTGACATTGGATCACAGCTCTATAGGGGGGGAGGAGGAGGAAGCGGCGTTCTTACGCTGTTTTTGCATCAGTAAACTAGGAAAAAGGGCGCCGGGCACGAAGAGGTTTGCGACTCTGCCCGAAAGTGATGTTTCGTCTCTCTGCGGGAGACTACAGGCATTTTAAATGTGCAACAAAGGTAGCATTCTGTTCTTCAGACATAAAGTGTAAAGGCATAAGAAAGCCAGTCGTGGCATGCCTCATGATGTTTGTGGGATGCAGTTTGATGCTCTCCTTTGGTTTTGCAGCTTTGCCTCATCACAGGAAGGCACCAAAAGAAAGGAGTGGGACCGCTCTCGTATCAGCCCTAGATGGAGGCGACGTAACCATTGATGGCCAAGCAGCTGCGATCGGCGCAATGCCGTCGCCGGGCAGCTTTGAGCCGCCTGAAGGACAGAATCGCAGCTCACATGAAACAAGCTCAATAGCACCGGTAGCGGACGAAACAGGTCTGCAAGGCTCATCCAGTGAAGTGCAAGCTGGAGTGTCTGACCCGGAGTCTGCTAATAACTCTCACGCAGAATTAAATAAGCAGCTGGCAGACCTGACACGTAAATACAGCAAACTGCAAGAATTGCAGACCCAGGCAAACTCAACAATCCAAGGCTTCCGAAAAAAAGTTAAGAAGCTCGAAAGTACCATAGAAACCTTAGAAAAGAACATGAAATTTCTGAACGAGGACCAAATACAGGCACTGTCGCGCAACAGCAACTAAGGGAGTGCTTGGTCTCCGCAAACTCAAATACAGGCACTGTCGCGCAACAGCAACTAAGGGAGTGCTTGGTCTCCGCAAACTGTGAAGCAAGCGCTTCAAATTAAATTTTCATGCGGGACGTCTGGCTACGAAACCTTAAGGAAACTCGGGTACCCGCTGCCGGCTAACAGAACTCTTGCGCGTCGACTACAGGGACTCAAGTTTCTGTTGGGATACTCACAGACGTGGTAGACCTGCTGAAAACGAAAGCAGAAGGCATGCAAGACATTGAAAAGGACTGTGTTCTTTTACTAGACGAGATGCAGATCTCCCAGGGCTATGAGCTCGATCGAGCTGAAGATGTGGTCCTTGGCGGAACAACATCGCCTGAAAATCCTGAAAACCCAGCTCGTCATGTCCTTGTGTTCATGGTAGGTGGCCTTAACCAGCGGTGGAAGCAAGTAATAGCTTATCACTTTACTGGAAGCAGCGTAGATGGCCGCATCCTGAAGGACTACGTTATGAATATCGTGCAACTTTGTGCAGATATATCCCTGAGGATACGCGTTGTCACTTCAGATATGGATTCCTCCAACAGGGCTAAGTGGCGCGAGTTTGGATTTTCTAGCCACAGAAAGTCTAACCCCATATGCTCGATACCTCACCTTTGCCTAGAAGACACGGAACTCTTCTTCACTGCAGACGCGGCGCACGTACTTAAAAACATCCGAGGCCAACTTTTAAATTCTGTCGTTTTCACCATTAGTGATGCAACCAAGTGTCAACATGGCCTACCCTCAAACAAAGTACAACTTGAGCACGTGCGTGCAGTAGTACGTTTGGACGAGGACTGGGAACTAAAAGTCGCACCAAAGCTATCGGAGATCCACTTGTCGAACGGGCATTTTACAAAGATGAAGGTGGGAGTCGTGGTTCAATTTTTTAGAGAAACTCCTGCCGCGATTCGGTATTGGATAAAGCACAAGAAACTAGACCCGGAGGCTGAAATCACAGCGTGGTTTCTGGAGCTTGTCTTTAAGTGGTATACGTTAATGTCATCGCGACATCCGTCAGTTGCTTTAAGTCTTGAACACATGGACAAGTATAACGCCGCCATAGAAACTCTTCGCTTGGCGTCCGAGACCATTCGAGGAACGAACATGGGGAGCACGTCCCAGTGGAAGCCCTCACAGGCGGGTTTCTTAATAGCCACAGAAGTCATCATTCGTCTACAGGATTGCCTTCTAAGAAGTGAAGGTTACAAGTTCTTCCTGGCAAGCAGACTGCTCCAGGACTGTCTGGAAAATCTCTTTTCAGTTATACGTCTTAGGAAGCCCGTTCCAAGCGCCTATGACATGAAGTGCGCGTTGAAGCTTGTGTCTGTCAGTCAGTTTTTGTTTACACCATCAACGACTAGCTACGACGTTGATGACGCACAGTACCTGATCGACATGTTGTCGACAGGTATGCAAGAACAAGCGGCAGCCGAAACTGAAGCCATCGTCGATTCGGAGATCCCGTTTGTTGAAGGGCTAACTTCTGCTGAGTGTGAGATTTTGTTCCACACCGGGGGGTATCTCATTAAAGGGTACTCAAATCTATCGACCACTGCGAGAAGTGCAAGTCTGAATTGTTGGGCTCGAGCAGCAGCGAGCATGCGTACTTGACGACCCTTAAGGAATACGTCAGTGACGGGAGCAACCTTCATTACCCAAGCGATGCAGTTATGGTCGTGCTCAAAGCATGCGAGGAGCATTTTAATGGTATCACCACCTGGACGCAAAGCGTTTTTACCATGAAATCGCCCTTGAAGGCTGTGACTACATACCTGACCAAGATGCTCCGGTCGGACGTAGCAGGATGCTGCCAGGAACACAAAGAAACTGTGGTGAAGCTCCTCGTGTCTAACTACGCGAGACTGAGGCTGCGTGTGCACCTGCATCAGGTCGCGGCAAAGGGACTCGACGGTCATGCAAGCAAAACGTGTGCTGGAGTGAACCTACAGTGAACTTTGAACTTCCATTTTAAGACATATCGCCAAAATTTACGCACTTTCATGTTATTTGTGTCACTCGTTTAATGTTACTTTCATTTGTGTGTTTGTTGTTACTTTGCCGTGCTTGCCGCGTTTTTGCGTTGTCTGTACAAACTTTTCGCTTTTGTTCATATGAACAAAAGCGAAAGGTGAAGTACAAAGTAATATTTTGATTTCATTTGTTAAAGTTATTTCATCGCTTCATTCTCTAGTTTCTGGTCGTTCGTTTGAGATCTGCGAAAGGTATGTGGCAGTGGACACTTGCTGATAATAAAAACATGCACTACGATCCAAACGTTGTGTAACGTATCCCCTAGTCACTCACTGACCTCTTTTTGCCGTCAGCATGTTCTTAACTTCTTATGCAACATGAATTTCGAGGGCTGCATACTAACCTTTTTACCAGCAACACAGGTTCACCTAGCAACTCTGGCCGAAGAACAGCAATGCTAGTAATGTAGAAATTTTCTCACTCATCTGTACTAACGCTTGGGGTAAACGTGTTAATTCGGGCTGTGAAAGAAAATCACCGAGCGCCATACAAATGAATTTCTGTAGTTAAATATGTAAAAAAAAGAAAACACGCCACGCGCACCAGCGATTGTAACGCGTTTTAAAAGGTTAATTTCAGGTGACAGCGTTCTATATTAGCATGGGACAGCTAACCTTGTAATATTGGTAAATTGTATGCCACCAAAAATATTACCTACTTCACTGTAACGCCATCTTAGTGCCCTTTTTGGAGTGTTATTGTCCGCAAAAAGGCGCGTCCCTTCGGTATACACATACACGCGCGCCGCACGGAGTGGGCATGAGCATGGCGGTCGCCGTAGCAGACGACGCGGTTGTCTCCACCCTGAAACGGGAGGCGGGCGACGCGCGCATCGAGGCATCCTAGCGCGAACCATCCGCGAGCCCCCCCACCTGCAACAACAAAAAAAAAAGCGTCTGTTTATTGGTGATGATAGTACTACCAGCGCCATCTGGCCTCGCGGTATTGCAGTTTAGTACGCCGCCGCTACGTATTTGCATGTTATTTTGATACAACAGCCCAAAGGTACAGTTTCCGTTCTCTAAACTGGTAGGTGTTCTGTGGTATCACCGAGACATGTCATTCAAGGCTGGCATAACGATGTCACAATAATATAGTGTACACACTTACAAGTTGGTGTTCCACTCTCCGGCGACGGTGTCGAAATATCCCCACGAGGCGGCCGTCTGCGTCGACATGACGGGTCTGTCGAGGCCGCACAGCATGGCCACCACCAAGTCTTGCACGGCGCCCGCACGGTCGAAGCGCTCGAGCTCATGCGGCCGATGTTTAAGCATCCAGAAGAGCGTGGCGCAGCCGTGGCCCGAGCTGAGCCGCAGGTGCGACCGTGGCCTGGGTAGGGCGTCCAAGAAGGCAGCCGAGCAGCGGCCGTCCTGCCAAGTGTACAGCACGCTTACCATGTCCACGTCGAAGCGTCCGAACGCGTTGCGTTTCCAGCCGCTGCCGTGCTTCCACAGGACGACGCCATGCATCTGTCCCGAGACGGCGACGCGCGTCACGCGAGCCAACTGTTCCTTGGGCAGCTGCGACAGGCAGAACTGCAGCGCTGTGCAGATTTTGTGCGCGTCCTGCTCGCTGCCCAGAGAGCCCAGCTCGCTGGCGAGAGTCGCCTTCGTCTCCCGCGACAACGAGGACACCGCGGTGCCTTCGGGAGACACGAGGCACGCCTTTACCGTGGTCGTGCCCAGGTCCACTCCAAGGATCAGGCCTTTCGAAGAGGTCGCGTGCTCTTGCGTCGACGAAGTCATGATGTTGGTCCCAACAAAGACTGCGTCGTCAAGGCGCTGTATCGACGGCGTAGGCTTCGCGGCTCCCCTAAGCACCTTGACACACGCACGCCACGGTACGCGAAGCACACATCCGCGATCACACACGCCGCGACGGCTGAACACAGGCGGCGTCTGCCAGCAACTCCACAGAACACCTACGCGTCGCGTTATCACCACCCTTCCACTTTCGGTTTCGCACACTCTCTTTCGGTAGAGAAAGTGAGGTCAGTGAGGCAGCGAAACCAACTTTCAAGCGACGGGCCATGCGCTCCTATGACGCGCTCAACGTGCTGTCGCCACCAGAGTTATTGCGTTCCGAAACCTGGCCCACAGAACACGAGAGAGCAGATCGTCGTGCCATCTGGGAGCGACAATACTATAAAACACTGCATTGCCACTTGTGCGTGCGTTTTTTTTTTGGGGGGGGGGGGAAGGGGGGGAGCCTGCTCAACGCCGCACGCAACAGTGACGTTGTCGCCTCAACAAATGGCCTTGGCTTGCACGGCGCCCGCTGCCGCCGTCAGCTGTTTTCGCTCTGCAAAGGCGTAATTAAAGCCGAGTCAAAGCGTCAAGTTTTATTTCGTCGAAGGTGGTGCTACGGTGGTTTTAACGCTGCGTCCTGATTATTTCTATTACTCCTCGTTTGCTCGTTTGAAAATTTCCGCTTGAGACGGATTGCTCGCTGGAAGTTTTACGAATCTCTTTCTGTCCCGCTCTGCGGTTCACGATTTGTCTAACTGACGTGTCACGACGTGATGGTCGCACAAACAAGACACAGATACGGTAGAGTGCAAACCAAAGCACAACAGTACCTATCAGTACTTACCGCGAGTTGGCCGCTTAGCCTTGCACGTAGCGGTCGAATTCCACTAATCGTGAAATCAATGAGACACTGGCTGGGATACTATATAATTATGAAAGCCCGATGACAAGAAAGTGGGAACATTGAACATTGCTATTTACTTGCAACTTCTTTTCTTTTCAGGTGCGATGTTCGTGGAGTCTTTCCAATGGCACCGGCGTTTGCTGCTCGGACGTCGTCTGCTGCCGTTGACAGACTTACAGGTTCGATCCACCTGGATCAACGCTGCATCCTGCTTGCATCACGCCTTGTCACTCATTATTTTGCCGAAATGTAAACATCGTGGGCTCTTCACGTGAATCTAATAAACTATCGACTTCGTTGCACCGCCCATTACGCTGTGCTAGCTGTGTACCACACGAACACGCCGCTTATAGCCACGTTACTTCTAAAGCGCAATGCGGAAAACGTGAAAAAAGACAGAGCACCAACTCGCCTAAGAAAAAGTTCTAGGCGCTGTCATGCTGTTTGGCAAAATGCGGCGGCGCTCACAAACTTGCTGAAACCAAATACACTAAATATTGTGTTTTCTAGCTAGTTTTGTCGTCAAAAGCAGGCGCTACAACCTGTTCGTTTATACCAATGTTTTGTTCGGATTTTGATACATGGAGCCTATGGGGAGTTTCACAACTCTTACGATTGAATAATTCTGTATGATCGAATAACCCTGGTCGCCACGGTCACCTGCGTAAAAAGTTTTCAAATTCCATAGCGCAGGCTTTCCTTGACGGCAGAGTTATGGAATAATTCTGCTTGACCGCAACCTTTTTTTTTTTTTTCACTTGATCACCACTAGGTGTTCAAAACATGGCGGTTATTACATATTTTTACACACCACGGAGAAAGAAAAGGTGTTTACACTTGCTCTTTTATGTTTTTACACTTCCTCCGTGTGTTTTTAAAAACGCTTGCATGCAATTCATAAAGGCACGACCTTCGAGATAAGCAACAATAATTTAGAAAATTAAAAGATAACTAACGACTGACGTTCACTAAGGCGCGTAAGTTCAAGCAAAAACTTAACCAGAAAACACTTGTTTTTTTTAATACTTAGAAAAGTCACTCATGAAGCGCGAGCATTTTGAGGTGCGCTATTGCAAATACTTTGTTTTTACTAATATTAACGCTTCCGACTTTATCGCAACAACTTTTAAGCGGCTAGCGTAACGTTTTTGTGAGAAGCGTTATTAGGCAGCACTATTTTTTTATTTTTTTTTTTAGAAAACAGTCGCTCTGTGTTTCTGTGTAGTGCGATTGGTTCGTTCTGGGGGCTCGTCCTTCGGCTGATCGCGGCGCAGCACCCGCAGCGGCAATCCACCTAAAGCGCTCGCGTGAGTTGTGGGGGTTGTGTCCGCCGTGCGTGTGTTGTGTGTGTGCGTGGTGTAGGGCCCGCCGGTCGGAGGATCCGAAAAAACGGTACGCGTCTTTACGCTAAGAAACTTTGTACACTAGTTAAAACCCGCTCTCTCTTTGGTGCCTTGACTGGAGACGACGTCATGTGTTTGCAGGTGGTTGTCGAAGGATGGACAAGGACGGAGCCAAGTTTCGGAGCCCGTTCGGAAGGCCGCACATGGCCACGAGCGGAGCCGCTCTGGCAGCATCGTCGTTCCTGCCGTCCCAGAAGACAACCAAAGGAATTGTGGCCGGTGGGTCCGCAGAAAACGAACTCGCGGCATATCTCCCGTGCGACGCGAGCGCTAACTGCGTTTTTTTCTAGTTTTTCCGCGTTGGTCGCGATGATTTCTAGCATCGTGCAGTTGCATTGCCGCATACTTGCAAGTTATGGCCTGGTTTGTTTATCAAATTATTGTTGCCGAAATATTGCATGACAACTGGCGGCCGGCATATCGGACGATGCTTCATGGGCCAGTCGGTTTAAAAGAGCGAAATTAGTAGTATGTCGTCCCGCCGCTGTCTAGAAGGCTGCTTTTTTTCTCGCCGTGTATCTTTCTCGAGTCGTTCCGCCCCATCTTTATCTTGAGCCCACCCATCCGCGCCACCAGTTGTGGTAATCTGTTCGGTCGCGCGACGCGCGGATAGCGCGCGCTTATTTCGCAAGTCCCCTGATTTGCGTAAATTCCCGATCATGCCGTATATTTCCCAACGCGAAAGCACTCGCTCGAACCTCGAGAATTCAGTACAAGTGCGGCATAAAGTATAAGCTCATGTCGTGTCAGTAGTATACAGCAGTACACTCGTATGGATGTATATCAGCCGATAACCTTAGCGATTACGTCTCCAGCGGCCGTTGCGTAAGCTGAACCGTCAGTGGGCACCGCGGCCATCGAGCAGTATTCCGACCTTCGGCGAAGTATGCCTGCACATACGTAGCTCCTTGAAGGCAGCATTTCACGGACTGGATTTCCTTGCGAGTTTGACGTCACGCCGTGTGCTTTTTTCCCCTTTGATACACTTCAGTGTCGCAATATTACGATACAACGCGCGTGGCTTGTTTTTTCGATGAGATAGCGCGTTTCCGCCTGCCCCCCCCCCGTCACCGCGCCGTGTTGTCCGTCTCGTGACGTCACGCAAACCCCTCAGCTGCTGGGATCAGCAGGGCGGCTGGAAATTCCAAAGGTCAAAGCGTGCGACAGCTAAAGATTCTCCGGTGTGTTCTGACCTGCAGGATTGGTGCACTGAGCAGCTGCGGCAGCATCGTTTCTTTATGTGTTTCATGAATTCTGTGTGCAGCAAAAGACGGCCACACTCCCAGTATTTCAGATCACTATCCCGAATACACATATACCTTCTAAAAATAGCACACTGCTTTACGATTTAAATTGGGATTCTTTGGGCACGTTGTTTGTTCACCTTGAGAAAAGTTTACAGCTCTGTGGCAATGCCCTGTAAAAATCAAAATTTAACCTAGATGGACAGAGACAATGTGGTTCCCTTCTTGGGTTCACAAGTCACTTTCAAGAAATGTATTATTGACGTATTAGCATGTCAAAGACAGCATGTACCTTAAATGCACCAAGTTTCACAGAGAAATTAACCATGCGTGAGGAAAGAATGCTGCTCCATGACAACATTAATCATTTCAAGCCTCCACCCTCTGGTGTCATTCCTTGTTGTTTGTTACACAGTGCAGTTAATTATGTTCCCGTCTTAAACCACTGAAGGTCCATTCAAACCGAAGTGCTGGTTAGCTAATTTTCTTCACTCGCGTCAAAATAGAGCTCCCCACAAAAAGACTGGCAAGAGGTGCTACAAGAGTCAACATTCTGACTAGGGACTCCGATCAACATCCCCTGTCTCAGCTTTTCCAAATGTTGGCTGCTTCAACAGTGCTTATGCAGTGGCTCTAGATTGCATGGACCATGGAGAATCAAGTGGTGGAGCAAACGTACACTTGATGCAAATTGAAACTGTAGTCGCATAAATTGCATACAACCTAGCTTTTAAGAAAAGAAAAAGCCGAGCACCGATTTTCAGCTTGAAACCATAAGTGGCTCCCTGTGGCTTCGCGCTACAAACAGGTGATTATCTTTTTTCCCTTTCTTAACCCTTCCGCCATCTTGCGAGTTTCCACAGAACTCATTTGCAATAGTTGGCTCCATATGTTTCAAGTTGTCAATAAAGTCGCCCTCGCGCTGTCATTTGCTAGCTTCCTGGTTAGCTGAATTGGTATAGGGACTGCCTCAGAAAGATGTTGGTCCTGAGTTTAAACCCCGGACCTGGAGGAATTTTTCGGCAACTAAGAGGCTTTTTTTTTTCTGAGGAATTCGCACAAATTTTCTTATGGCTTCATGCTACAAACAGGTGGTTGTGTTCCTTCCCTTTTTCAACCCTCCTGCCACCTTGCGGGTTTCCCCAGAACTCATTCGCAACCTAGCTTTTGTGTTTCCAAATTGCGCCTGCTTCTGTCACAGCTGTTTGGATGCATGAGGGTGCACTGTAGTTGCTGGCACTCTGGATGTCCTCAAGAAATGCTTGATGTTGATCAACAGAGATGCCTCAAGAGGGATCACGGAATGTTGCACCCTCTTGCATGCGTATACAGGGTCTGAAGCGAAGTTCTGTTGCCAAAGGGTGAGCCATGTGCAAAGCATGATACCAACAATTACTGGTATGTTTGTGCAGCTCTAGGAGGAGCATGACACTTTCGCAAGTTGAGATCGGGTAGGATGCAGTGTCATGAGACTGTTATTGTGCCATTAGTCTGTCCTATGTTACTGCCATTGTGGAAGACAAACATATGGCCCAAATGCTCAATCATGTCACATTGGAGGATCTGCGGCTTGTGGGAAAGTGTTACATTGTGAGATGAAGTTATACAGGAACAGAGAAAGATCACTCCATTTTGGCATTTTAACATGTCTTCCTAATTATCCAGATTATATCTTACAATTATTGATAATTTACTGTCCTGTCGGTCGATAAGATAATCACTATTATCAGCGGAATTTTCTGTCAGCCTTCATGTAACTTGTCTCTACACCTCAAAGTGTTGCCGACCCCGCAGGGGCGCCTGCGCAAGTAGGCGTTTGGTGTGTAGCGACACCACGGACCCGAGCTAACGGGGGAGCTTCTACTCCCTCCCACGCCTAGCCGTGCGTGGCTTTGCCGTGTCCGGGGAAAAGGGGATCCTGGGGGTTGAGCCCACGCTGGGTGATTGGACCATTAAGGCCCCCCGGCAGAGGCAACACACCCCTTTGTCCCCGGCTTCACGTAGACGGCACCCCTGGGCTGACCCACCCAGGGGAAATCGGCAGTCGCCTTTTCCTATCTCTCTCTCCCTACATCTTTGTCTTTCTTACTTTTTTAGCTTTCCTGTCTACTTCTCTCTTCTGCTTACTTCCAATTTTCTCGGCGGCAAGCGTTAACCCTGTGCAAATAGCCTACCTGCGCCTAGGCGCATTGGGTTATAGCAGAGTTGTACGGCTGACGTCTGCAAGCTTTCAGCATCCGCAAACTTGCAGCATCCCCTCGTTGGGCTCCGTGGTGGGTGGCCGCCAACGCTGCTGAACAACATACAATTAGCATGCACAAAGCATTCCCTTTGCTAAGTGATCGTGCCTCCTCAAAGCGGGTACGCACCGAAGATATCAATTTTTTCATCAAGCCAAGACAAATCTTTCCTCATTTCCACGTTATACACTGCAAAAAAACTAACAAGCAAGCCAGAACTGTATCCCCCTTTGTAGTGGCTAGGTGCTTAACCGAAACTCTCGGTGTTGGGTACAAGGTTACCAAAATGGCCAGCGGAAATCTACTCCTTGAGATACGTGACAAAGACCAATTCGATAAACTGAACACCCTCACAACGTTTGGAGACACACCCATCAGTATTACGCCACACAGGTCCATGAACTCATCTCGCGGGGTCGTATCGGACGCAGATTTGCTTGACCTGACCGAAGCTGAATTCTGGAAGGATGGAAGAGCCAGAACGTGACAAACGTACTGCATATTAAGATAAGAAGAGATCAAAAGGAAATACCAACCAAACACTTAGTACTGACCTTTTCTTAGAGCGGTTTGCCGGAAACCATTCAGACTGGGTATACAACGACATCCGTGAGGCCATATATTCCCAACCCCCGCCGTTGCTTCCAATGTCAGAGGTATGGCCACGGCTCGCAAAGCTGTCGTGGCCGGAAAACTTGTGCTCTGTGTGGAGTCGTGGGCCATGCGTCCGACAACTGCGAAGCACCTGCACACTGTGTGAACTGTGGCGGTAATCATGCTGCGTACTCACGTTCCTGTTCTTTCTGGAAAAAAGAAAAGAGATCATCACTTTAAAGATAAAAGAAAACATTACATTTAAAGAAGCAAGAAAAAGTCTCGCCATTTTATGGCCCCACATATGCTGATGCGGCGCGCCAGGGGGAAGTGTCGCACCAGCCCTCGCCACTCCTTCGGCCTGCGCAGAGCGAGCCATTGGCTGTGGCGCCTGCCCCCAAGGCGGCAGTAGTTGAGTCTACTCTGCCTACTATTGAACAGAGACCAGAAACTCCAGGGTCCTCGGGTCTCAAGGCCTCACCTCGCCAGGCGAGGCCCAAGCTTCGAAAAACCAACTCGCATGAGCTGGCATCTAGTGCCTCCGAGGAGGCAATGGATATGGCTGCACCCCTGGTGCCAAAAGAGCGGCGCGGTTCTCTGGAGCGCGCAAAGAGAACTAAAAAGCTCGTAACAGGGCCTGATAATAGCCCTGTTACTTGAGCTCGACCTTTCTGCTTAAACAAGTCACTCCCTTAACGTACACACAGCACTACTTTACTTCCAATATGAAAACACAAATTATACATTGGAACGTCAGAGGACTGCTTAAAAACCTTGACGACGTCCAAGAGCTTTTATACAATTACTCACCTCAAGTGCTCTGTGTACAGGAAACACACCTAAAATCCTCCAATACAAATTTTTTACGTGCTCACATCATATACCGAAAGGACCGAGATGATGCTGTGGCGTCATCCGGTGGCGTAGCCATTATTATTAACCAAGGAGTAGCGTGTACACATTTACCACTCCAGACATCCATTGAGGCGGTGGCTGTTTGAGCGGTTGTTTTAAACAAACTCGTCACCATCTGCTCTTTGTATGTACCTCCCCACCACCGTCTTGAAAGACGTGAATTCCAGTCTTTAATAGACGAACTGCCTGAACCTTATTTGCTTCTTGGGGACCTAAATGCACATAG